CCCCCCCCCGTCGAGGTGGGCAAAGCGGGGGGGGGGGTAAAAAAAAAAAAAAAAAAAGAGAAACTCACAGTCTGCGGCTGATCCCCTCTACTGATCTCCCGTAAGCGGGCACGGAATAACTCAGCAGAAACACTGCGAAACTCCACTGCTGGAAGAGTTTAGTGAACATTGTATCCTCCGGGTCTTAAAACCTGCAAGGAAAGGGAGATCAGTCCCAAGGGACACATGCGCCAGCGCCGTCCTCAAACAGTCCCTGCTTTCGGCTCTACCAGCTCCGAGGTTGTGAAGGAAAAACAAACTTTCTGAGCTCTCGGCAGCGGCTCACTTCTTCCAAACTTTGCTCCGTCTCTCTCCCTTCCTTGCTGTCTGCCTCTCCCTCCTTCCCTCCCTCCCTCCTTCCCTCCCTCCCTCTCTGTCTCTCGCTGCCCGGAGGCAAGATCTCTCTCAATATTAGTTAAAAAAAAAATCATCTAGCTCACATTTGAACCGGGTTAGAGAGCGCGTCCATTTGTCTCCCTGAGCCCTGTTCGATTCTAGTCCGCTAAGGCGCTGTCTCAGGGCTTTACGTTACGGGAGAAGCCCTCTTTGCAGATAAGGAAAGATTCCCAAAAGTCAGCTCAGCCACCCTCTTCTCTGTAAACACACGCGCGGACACACACACACAGAGAGAGATTCGGGGGCGGGGGGGCGCGGGGGGAATGCATCTATATATCTGTCTTGAAGTATACCTCTGGAAAAAAAAGTCAGGTTCACGTCCTCTGCTTCCGGAAAGTTGGGTCCACAACTGTGGCAAGGAAAGGGAACTCAAGCAAAGAGCGCCGCTGCCTAGCTGGAGAGCCCGAGAGGTCTAAGAGGAGCGGTAGCCCGGGGAGGCTCAGGGGCTGGGAAGCATGCTTGGCTCCCCAGGTTGGATTGGGCTGGAGCCTGCGATGTTCACACGCTCCGAAGCAGCCTCTGGGAGACCTGCGGGAGGACGGAGGGTTTTGCAAAGAGATGGCGCCCTAGGAACATGTGCGGAGAGAGCGAGAGCCCGGGCGGGATACCCACAGCCAAAGAGGAGACTAGAAATCAGCGCTTCACGGGACCGGAATCAAAAAGGAGCGAGGAAAGGGAAACACCCGACAGCACATGCACTCAGCAGACCCTAAGGACTCCGGCCAAGCTCTTCGCATCTTCTGCAGCCGGGCTCCTCTCCCTCTCTGCCCCCACTTCTCCCTTTTTGCGTTTACCCCCGGGTCAGCGCCTCCCCTGCCGTCGCACAGTGGCAAGGGCGACCCCCCCCCCCCCATCAGTGGGGGCACTTTTTAGATCAAGCCCAAAAGCCCAGCCCGGGATCGTTGCCGCCTTTCCTTTCAC